CTGCTCCTAGCCCATTGGAGCTAGAGGCGTTTCTTCACTCAGACAGCTGCTGGCTGCTGAGAATGAGAAGCCCCAAGGTTGACAAGTGAAAAGGCACAGTCCTTTTTTTTTTTTTCATTTCGAGAAGGTTGCCCCAGTTCTTCAAAGTTTTTTATTTTTTTTTATTGTGATTTGGGTGAAAATTTACAGAGCAAATTCACTTTCCATACAGCAGTTCATATACAAAAGGCACAGTCCTGATGTTACCAAACCACACGGCAGGCCATTAACTTAAATCCATTGTAAGTCCCAAGGTTGGCAGAGCATAACAGGCTGCTGAGCAATGACACAGCTACATGCAGGGCCAAGCATGACATAGGCTAGAGACCATTCCCAGAGCTGCTGCTTATATATGGGAAGCAGACTGCCTACCCAATGGCAGCTGCTCAGCTGCTTGTGGTAGGTCCCACCATAGAGTTGATTGCTAGTCTCATCATGGGGAATAACTACCATCAGCTGCCCAGCCACTCAACCAGGCCCAGCCAAGAAACACTCAAACATAACTACCACAATGACTTTCTGTACATACTTTATATCCATTATGGAGAATATTAGAGACTTTGAAACTTGCTCTTGAACACAGAGTAGCTAAAGTGAATGGAAGAAATGATGAAATAATAGAGCTGAACAGAAAATTTCAAAGACTGGCTCAAAAAGACAAAGTAAAGTACTATAAAAAATGTGCAAAGACCTAGAGTTAGAAAACCAAAAGGGAAGAACATGCTCAGCATGTCTCAAGCTGAAAGAACTGAAGAAAAAATTCAAGACTTGAGGATTCTGTGGGCAAAATATTGAATGATGCAGGAAGCATCAAAAGAAGATGGAAATAATACACAGTAACTGAATGCAAAAGAATTGGTCGATGTTCATCCATCAGGTAAAATATGAAAAAGAACTGATGGTATTTAAGGAAGAAGTCCAAGCTTCAAAGTCCAAGCTTCACTGAAGACACTGGCATAAAAGAGGGTTCTGGGAGCTGACAAATACCAATTGCAATGTTTCAACAACTGGAGGCAATGCTGGAAGCACTCATTTTTCTTTGTCAAGAAATTTGGAAGACAACAACCTGACCAACTGACTGGAATAAATCTATATTTGTGCCCATTTCAAAGAAAGATGATCCAACAAATTGCAGAAAATATCAAACCATATTATTATATCATACACAAATACAATTTTGCTGAAGATAATTTAAAAATGGTTGCAGCAGTACATCAACAGAGAACTGCCAGAAATTCAAACAAAATTCAGAAGAGGATGTGGAATGAGGGATCACTGCGGATGTCAGATGGATCTTGGCTAAAAGCAGAAAATACTAGAAAGATGTCTACCTGTGTTTTATTAACTGTGCAAAGATATTCAACTATGTGGGTCACAACAAATTATGGATAGTATTGCAAAGAGTGGGAATTCCAGAATACTTAATTGACTCCCACGGAACCTGTACATAGACCAAGAGACAATCCTTTGAAGTGAACAAAGAGTTTTAAAATCAGATGTTTTAAAATCAAGAAAGTTGTGATCATGGTTGTATCCTTCCGCCATACTTATGCAGTCTGTGTGCTGAGCAAATAATCTGAGAAACTGGAGTACATGAAGAAGAGTGTACCATCAAGATAGGAGTGAGACTCATTAACAACCTGTGATATGCAGATGACAAGCCAAGAGGACTTTTGAAGCACTTACGATGAAGATCAATGATGATAGCCTTCGGTATGGATTATATCTCAACATAAAGAAAACAAATCCTCACAACTGGACCAATAAGCAGCATTAAGATAAACAGAAAATATTAAAGTTGTCACGGTTTCATTTTACTTGAATCCACAGTCAACACCTATGGAAGCAGCATTCAAGAAATCAAATGACATATTGCATTGGACAAATCCACTGCAAATGACTTTACCTTAAAGTATTAAAAACCAAAAACTTCACTTTGAGGACTAAAGTGTACCTGACCCAAGCCATGTTTTTTTTTTTATATTTTTATTTTTTAATTGCTTCATATGCATGTCAAAGCTGGACAATGAATAAGGAAGACCAAAGAAGAATTGATACCTTTGAATTATTGTGTTGGTGAAGAATATTGAATATACAGTGGGCTTCCAGAAGAACAAAGAAATCTGTCATAGAATAAGTACAGCCACAGTGTTCCTTAGAAACAAAGATGTTGACACTTCGTCTCACATATTTTGAACATGTTATCAGGAGAGACCAGTCTCTGGAGGAGGACATCATGCTTGGTCAGTGGAAAAGAAAACGACCTGAGATGAGATGGGTTGACATAATAGCTGCAACAATAGGCTCAAGCAGCAGTGATTGTGAGTTTGGGGCAGGACCCCAGGCTCTGTTGTACATAGGGCCACTATGAATTGGTATTGACTTACCAACACCTAGCAACCACAACACAGAGAATATTTCATAGTCAATATTTCATTTCTCATACTGACTCATTTCTGTATGATAAAGGCTTCATTAATATCATATAGAAATGATAGTGGGCATAATCAAGGAGCTCTGTTGGCCTAGTGGGTAAGACAAGTGGCTGTTATCCAGAAGGTAGGTGGTTCAAACTCACTAGTTGCTCCACAGGGGGCAGATAAGGCAATCTACTTATGTAAAGATTTATAGCCTTGAAACCCGATGGGTGTCACTATGAGTTGGAATTGACTCAATGGCAATGAGTTTTTCTTGGTTTTTATGGGCATAATCAAGGATAAATTAGTATAGCAATTTGTACCCTTCAATAAAGCACTAACAATGATTAGCTTTTATTTTAATGGCAATACCCTACGACACTGGAGTCCCTGGTTGTGCAAATGATTAACACATCTGGCTGCTAACTGAAAAGATGGACGTTTGAGCCCACCCAGAGGTCCCTATTCTGGTTGCCTAGTGCCATTCTGACAGGAATGTACCACAAATAAGATGGCCTTAACAAACAGGAGTTTATTCTTACAATTTGGAGGGTTTAAATCCCAATTCAAAGTACCAGGCTCTAGGGGCTTTGTGAAAGCACCTTGACCTTGGGCTTCAGCTTTGCTTGCTACTCCCACCCCACTAAAGCTAGAGGCATCTCTTCACTCAGGCAGCTACTGGCTGCTAAGGCTAACAAGCCCAAGGTCAATGAATAAAATGGCACAGTCCCGATGTTACCAAACCACACAGCAGGCCATTAATTCAAGTCTGTTGTAATTTCCATGGTCGGCAACGTATGGCAGGCTACTAAACAACGACATGACTGCATGCAGGGTCCACGCATGCCATAAGCTAGAGACCATTCCCAGAGCTGCTGCTTATATATGGGAAGCAGACTGCCTACCCAATGGCAGCTACCCAGCTGCTTGTGGTAGATCCCACCATGGAGTTGATTGCCAGTCTCATCATGGGGAATAACTACCACCAGCTGCCCAGCCACTCAACCAGGCCCAGCCAAATTGACACACAAACATAACCACCACAGTGCCTCAGACAGTCTTGGCAGTCTAGTTCTAAAAAATCAGCCATAGCAAAACCCTGTGGAGCCACAGTTCTACTCTGACACACGTGGGGGCATCATGAGTTGGAGTCAACTCAATAGCAACTCGTTTGTTTGTTTTATTCCCATGATGCTGGACTGTGTATCAAGGTAAATTAAGGCCACAAGGTTTTGTTTAACAGTCATTTTGGTGTGAATGTGTTGTCTGTGTTGTTGTTAGTTGCTGTCAAGTCTATTCCAACTCATGGTGACCCTACACGTGTAGTGTAACTTTTCAAGCCTCTGAACTTTTGGAAGCAGATTGCCAGGCCTGTCTTCTGGAGTGCTTCTGGGTGGGTTTGAATTGCCAGTTTTCAGCTAGAAGATGAGTACTTAACTGTTTGCATTGCCCTGGGATGCCCATGTTTCTGTGGTAGAATCAATAGATTGATTGGTTCTATATTAGGAAATGCATAAAGGCCAAACCACAATACAGGAAATGGAAGAGGAATATATGTTTTGTTTTGTTTTTTGGTACTTTAATTTGTTTTATGTATATATAAAGCTGTCACCAAACTTTGTTGTTTGTTGTTAGTTAGTTAGATCAGTAAATATATTGTGTCCCATTCAAATATTTGAAAATGGACTTTTATACTATTTTAATTACTCCTATCTGATTTATTCTTTCAGATTATAAGGCTGATGGCTTTTCTGCCCCAAAGGACCAAGTAGTTACAGCAATAGAGTACCAAGGTACAGTATCCTACTGAATTTTACTGAGTATATTATTTAAATAACTCATGAGGATGAGTCAGGTGATTTTATCTTCCCTGAACTTCTATTTGTCAGGTTCTTTCTCTCATCGCACACTGAATCCTCTGCCAGCAATAGTCCTTCACGCTGTTTCTGACTCAAGAACTCTTACTCAAGAGTCATCTATCTGCTCAGTGGAAATTTCAGGCACACAGATGATAAAACAAACGTACCAAGAAGTTTTCTTATTACATAAATTAATAGCAAAAAAAGCAAAGCTAATTTATGAAACTGGAAGATGGAGATTTTTAAAAGTGTCTATTCAGGTAGATATGGTATATGGAAATTAACACTTCAAACCCTACTACATGGATTTAATATGGTCTATTTTAGTGGGGCTTTTTTTAAATGCATTTTATTGAAATGTAATTGTTGTACAGTGAAATACACAAAACTAAAATGAAATGGGTCAATGCATTTTTCTTTTTGCAGTGTTCCCTCCCCTTTCCTCCCACCCATGGCAACCAACAAAGTTTCCCTCCATATAGAAACCTTTCCTTGACCCTCCACAACAATGAACTAATACTATATTTGTCCTTCTGTGATTGACTTATATCACTCAGCATAATGTCCTCCAAGTTCATCCATATTATGCAATGTTTTTTTGCAGACTCTACACGATTCTTTAGTGCTGCATAGCATTTCATTATATGTATATACTATAGTTTGGCCATCCACTCTTCCACTATAAATCTTACAGATAAGTTCCTTGCCAGATATGTAGTTATCGGCAAATATGAATTTGTTGCTGTCATTTTTGTTATATGCTTTTTCGTGGTTTTGATTTCTTTGTTCCATATAATTTTCTATGCTGAGCTCGTTTTGTTTATGAATCGTGTTATCACTTCCTTCATTGCTTTTGTTTTAGGATTTGCTGAATATTTTGCTGGTCCTCTCTTTTGATGTGAAGGTTTATCATTTTTCTTTCAGGTTACCCTGTGATTTATAGTTTTCTTTCCAAGTATAGAACAGTCTGTTCTATCTTGTAGCTGGCTTGACTTCCCTACCATCTAGAAGTTCTGTAATGACACAGTTTTTTCCCTCTTTTTAGTTTATAGTTGTCCTCATTTGTCAATTGATGTCTCTGGTTCCCTGTTTACAATGCTGTAGGATTATTTACTTTGGATACTTCCATAGCTGGGTTGGTTTCTGGGTTATATCATCGTGTGTGTTAATGGTCAATTGCTGTTGGCTGTTACTGCTCCTCTGTCCAAAAGGCTCCCTTTAGCATCTCTTGTAAGGTTGGTCTGATTTTAAGAAATTCCCTTAATTTCTGCTTATCTGGAAGTGTCCTAATTTCACCATCATGTTTGAGGGACAGTTTTGCTGGGTACATAATTCTTGGTTGGAAATTTTTCTCTTTCAGGGTTTTATATATACCATCCCATTGTCTTCTTGCCTGCATGGTTTCTGTTGAGAAATCTGAGTTTAGTCTTATTGGTTGCCCCTTGTAGGTAACTTTTCATTTTCCCCATGCTGCTCTCATGATTCTTTCTTTGTCTTTCGTTTTGGTAAATTTGATGGTGATAAATGTCTGGGTGATTTTCTTTTGGGGTCTATCCTGTTTGGGGTTCATTGGACTTTCTGAATGGATATATTCTCATCTTTCATCATACCAGGAAAATTCTCTTCCAACAAATCTTTAACAATTTTCTTTGTGATTTTATTCTTCTCTTCCTGTTCTAGAATTCCGATTACATGAACCTTAGGCTTTCTTCATTTTGTTTTGATTTTTTTTTCTGATTGATCCCTTTCCAAAGAAGTATTCATATGTTTGCCTTCAATCTCCCTAATTCTGTCTTCCATTGATTCAATTCTGCTCCTTTGCCCATTCAATGTCTTATCTATTTCTGAAAATTTAGTATTAATCTTCTGGATTTCTGTGTGTAGATTGTGTATCATTTCTAATTTTTCATTTATTTTGTAATTTTGTTCTTGTATTGTCTTTTGAAATTGTTCTAGGGTTTTCTTGATCTTTTCCTTGATCTGTCTCTCAATTCATTGAAGATACCTAAATATAATTGTTTTGAATTTCTTATTAGGGAGTTCCAATGCTGCGTCTTCCTCAGGGATGTGTTTTGAGTCTGTTTCCTGGTCCCTTGTTTCTCCTGCTTTATCTTGCTTCTTTGTGTGGACTGTGATGCTCTGTTGTCTATGAGGCATTGTGACATTTTTGTGTTTATATTTAATTGGTGATTATATGTTGGAGTGACTTGCCCACGATCTTTGTTTTCTTTGCTTTGTTTGTATGTTGTCTACACAAGCAGGGTACCATGCTCTTCTATTTGCTAGCTGACAGCACTTATACACTCATCATCTGTCTCCTTTCATGTTGTGAGCCTCCGTATGTCCCTGCTGACCTTGGCAAACAGAGACTATTCTTAGATCCCAGGAATCCGAATGAGAATGCTATCACTTCAAAATCCAAAACGGTTGCCACTTGTAAAGATTCAAAATGGCTGTGCCCTTGGTCACTTTAAATATCCAAAATGGTCACTGCTTGTAAACATTTCAAATGTCTGTGCCCTCAGTCACTTTAAATATCCAAAATGGCTACCACTTACAAACATTCGAAATGGCTGCACCCTCAGTCACTTTAAATATCCAAAATGGCCTCTGCTTTTAAACATTTAAAATGGCTGCACCCTTGGTCACTTTAAATATCCCAAATGGCCACTGCTTGTAAACATTCAAAATGGCTGCACCCTCCGGACAGTGGAAAGTCAACAGCTCAGGTTGTCTCCCTCCTTGCTGTTTCCTTTCCTAGTCATAGGCCACCAGCGCAGTCATCCATCCCTACAGCCCTTGGTGACCAGGGTTGATCTTTAGGTCAATTCTCAGGTCCCAACTCCACCTGAAAATATTCAGTCCGGTCAGAATAGCTGACAGTCTGCAGCTCCAACCATCTCTGTACTTACTATTTACGTTCAGGTTTTTCCACTAGTTGGTGCCTAATCCACTTCTGCATAGTTCCTTTCAAAGCTCAGGGCTCCAGGATTATCCTGTCTATCTCTGTCAATTCATTTTTCTTTTCTTTGTTGAAGAGGGTCTGTGTCGCTTGTCTGCCTATTCCTCCATCTTACCAGAAATCTCCTGTTTTAGTTTTTTTTAAAAAAGAATTTATAAGTACTTTAGTAAGTTTCCTTCAAATATTGACCACCTACTGGTATTTTTCCATAGGATTTTTGATCTAGAAGACAATTAATACTAGGCAACTAGCTTTACTATTTCTTAAATGTAATACTTCTTAAAGCCAGATATTGGAAGCACTAAAGAAATAGGTCCCAAGTACCTGATCCCTCTTCTTCAAGAATATCTTAGTTTCTTGGGTTGAAAAGAAATATGTTTAAAGAAAGAGAGAAAGAAAAAAAGGGGGTCTAGGGTTGCAGAAATTCAGTGGGTTATCTATACAATAATTATACAGAGTTTACAATAGTTTTTGGCATAGCATAAGTGTTATATGGCATGTTAAGTAACAATATACTATAATCAGAATGAGTTCATCATATAAAACTCTATCCTAAATTTTAAAAATCATTTAAGCAATTATTTACATTCATCATATTCTAATCCTAAATCTTAATATTTTACATGATTAAGCTAATAACACACTCATGCCTTATGGTCAATTCATTTTAAGTGAAGAAGTAGTATCTTATTTACCTAGTGTTTCATAACACAGGGAGCTCTGGTGGCATAGTGCCTAAGGCATTTGACTACTAACCAGAAGTCTGGTGGTTCAAATCCACCAGCCACTCTTGGGAAGGAAGATTGGGCAATCTACTTCCATAGGGATATGGCCTCAGAAACCCAAGGAGGGGTTGCTATGAGTTGTATCTGACTCGACGGCGTGAGTTTGATTTGTTTTTGGTCATAACACAAAGGAGCTATGGTAATGTAGTGGATAAGGCATTTGGCTGACAATCAAGAGGTCAGTGGTTCAAACCCACCAGCTGCTCTGCAGAAGGAAGATGGGGCAATCTACTTCTACAAAAATTTATAGTCTCAGAAACCCAATGAGGGTCACTATGAGTCAGAATTGACTTGATGGCAGTGAATTTGGTTTGTTTTTTGGCCATAGCACAAATACAAATGGGTGGTTTTAAAGAACAGAAATTTATTTTCTGAGTTGGAGTGCTGAAAGTTTGAACTCATTATGTGGCTGTTGGGAGAAGTTCTTCCTTATTGGTAGCCCTGGGACTTCCTTGATATTCCTTGGCATCTGTCTTCCCTTGAGTCTCTCTGTGTGTATTCTGCTCTTTTTGTAACTCAGAAGTGATTAGGTTTAAGATCTACTCTACACTGGTATAACCTGATTAATATAACAAAAGAAAAGCCCTATTTCCAACCTGGGCATATTTACAGGTATAGGGGTTAGGAAGGAGCTCTGGTAGCATAGTGCCTAAGGCATTTGACTGCTAACTAGAAGGCTGGTGGTTCAAACCCACTAGCCACTCCTGGGAAGGAAGACTGGCCAATCTACCTCCGTAGAGATACTGCCTTGGAAATGCAAGGAGGGGTTTCTTTGAGTTGGAACCGGCCAGATGGCAATGAGGTTTTTTTATTTTTTAAGGGGTTAGGATTTCAACATCCACACATATATAAATATAAAAATATATATATGCTTATATATATGTATATGTATATATATTTATATACACACGTGTGTGTGTGTGTGTGTGTGTATTTTGTGATTTGGGTGAAACGTTACAGAGTAAATTCACTTTCCATACAGCAGCTCACATACACTTTGTCTCATGACATTGCAGTTTCCCACAATACAACAGCTCCTCTCCCACTTCCTCCCCATAGTTACCTCTTCCCTGTGTCCTTTCCTCCATGTACTCCTGCCCTCTGAGCTGTCTCCTTGTGCATACATAGCCCTTCTTTCCTTCCATGATTGTTCTCTCCAAGGAGTCTATCTACCTAATGTAAATGTT